CGTCTTCGTCGACAATCATGCTATTAACGCCCTCGTCGACACCGGTGCCAACTATTCCGTAATGAGCGCCACACTGGCATCGGAACTGCGGAAGGTTACCACGCCATGGCAAGGACCTCAGTTGCGCACGGCAGGTGGCCATCTGGTGACGCCTACTGGTATGTGCACGGCACGCATACTTTTTGCGCTGTGAATCGCCAGTGAGTGACTGACTTCATTGATAACTTCGCGTCTTTCTTTTTGTTTCGTCTTTTCCTTACATTTTTCCTATTTTTCTTATTTCTCATTTAACTTTTGTCCCCACAACCAACTACGTTATTCCGCCTTACGCCATTCATTTTGCTCGCATGCTAATTTTCATATAATTTTCTTTTCTTTTTTTTTGCCTTCATGTACAGCATCAAAACGATGCTTCTTGGGAGAGGGGGTAATGCCACCATTGATGAACGAGCCACTGTGGCTCATACGCGATTTTGGGCGCGAAGAAGAAGAGAACATCTTCATTGGTCTGGTTCAAGTGAACTCCTGGCTGCAGGTCTTGTTTTGTTCGTGACAATATTTTCGACGGTTAACCTTTGGCGGGCGGGTAAAATAACGCCCGCACCATGGTAGAAAATTCGTTAATGCGGGATCGCTGTCTAAAAACATTTCGTTGCCGCGAGATACGTAATACATGGCCTTCTATGAACGTTCGCCGGGGATCCGAAAATACTTCGTTACCGCGAGGATTTCGTACTAGTGGGGTTTCGTTATCGTGGGTTTCCATTGTATACAGTGCAGGTCTCATCGGGTAGCTGAGCTTTATGTGCAAGATTCTGCTCAGCACGCTTATTTTGCAGCTAAGTTACCAAAATACTTCTTGATCTCCTCAAGGACGGGGTTCCATGTATGTAGTCAGAATATCCTTGTGGTTTTCGTACCAAACGAGGGCAACATCAGTGAGGCAGAAAACCACGCGTGATAGTTGGGAGGCAGCATTCCATTTGTTGTAGTTGCTCACTCGCTTGTAATGATTGAGCCAGTCATCTCATCTTCAGTTGCCTTGCCCGAGAAGGGCCCTGGCTTCTTGAGGTGTGGCCAAGTAGCGCTGGGCGCTGCTTTCTGAGCGTCTCCATTGTTGGACATGGAGGGCAAGGAAGGAGGCAGGCCGGCGAGGCAACAACTCCGGCGAAGTCCTAAGGGTAACGGTCCCGTCCTTGGTTGTTATACCCCCACCTCAAGCACTCTGTACGTCCTCAGTAGACGTTTGGGGGTTTATTGGTACACGGTTCGGATGACGAGCCGTATAGACCCAGGATGCAAGAGAGGTCTTCTTTTTCGTTTGTCCCCCTTAGCTTCTTTCTTCTTTTCCTAGTGCGGCACTTATTTCGCGTAACAATATTACTGATGATAGGCTCTCGGGATAACAAGTTAGTATTAAATCAAAGATGGAATTGCTTTCTGTGATGCACGCTGGCTGGGATACCAGTTGGATAAGATTGCAGTTGAGACAGGAGTCTACGAAATCTATAGCGGACTCGCAGCCTACAGCTGACGGGATGCTACCACTCCAATCTATATGATTGAAATCGCCAAGAAGGAGCATCTCCGCTCTTGAGTAGCGCTCACTAAGGTCACTCAGATTGTTGTTTAGTTTAGATGTGAAATCAGGGATAATATGCGGAGGCCTATAAAAGACACCAATAAGGACGGTATGGAGGCAAGCACGGAAAACAACCCAGAGAATTTCCAACTCGGGAGCCTCAGTCCTGGCCTAAATAGCACGATAATTTTTCATGCACGGCTATCAGAACACCACCCCCTCGTGCGCTCGTATGGTCCTTCCGATAAAGGTGTAATCCTTGTAAGTGATGTAGCACCTCTGCATCGGTTACATCATTTGTTAGCCATGCCTCAGCTATTACCAAACGTTATTGCTGGACGATAAAACAAGCTCAAAAAAAGCGTCGCGCTTTGGAAAAAAAACTGCGTGCATTAGAGAAGACTACTGACAGCGAGAAGCTTAAATTAGGGTGAGGTATGGCGGTGTTCTATGCAAGTTATGCATCAGGGTATCTGCCAGAAGAAAAAAAAAAGGGGGGGGGGGGGGACATTAGGCCTACACTGAGAAAAGCTAGGGGGGCAGAGCACTCCCACTTTCCCCAGTGGTCATTGTCACCTGGGCAAAGAGAAACCAAGAACTGAGCCAAATTTTTCCTTTCGCACATCGATCACGTAATTACATAATAAAATTTGTCCTAGGCTTCTGCTGTGAAAATAGCCCTTTGTGTCTCATGACCTCGCACTCTGGGCTTTCAGCAGGCTAGGCCGCTTATTCAATGTTGTCGTGTCTTGCGTTCAATCAATGCAGAATAGGCGACCACTGAGCAGGGGCCCTATGACATTACAGCACCTTGTGATGATTTCATCCTGCTTGGCCTAGCCTAAAATTTTATGTCAATGATGACGCAAACACTGATCGGAGCTAGAAAACGTTTTATTGACCGATAGAACCTCTTTCTGTTTAAGCAAAATCGAAATCTTTATTTGAGAAGGAACATCATCAACGCTGCTTTACATCCAAGCAGCTGTGATTCAATGAGTGTGCATCGATGCTAGGACGAACTGGGAATACTGAAAGAACTGAAAAAAGATACTGCTTTAGTCACACATTAAATTGCTCCGCTTTGCTTATCACGCTGCATTGCTTACGAGCTTGCAGTGATCATGGCGACTTGCAATAAGGCGACGAATAAGGCAGTGAGCTCATAGAAAAGCCCAGTTTTCAAGCTTCCTTCATGTACTGAATCAGGAAGATGGTCAAGGTCCACGGTTTTTTAGTACAAGAAAACTGACCTGACAACTGGCGGCCCTCTTAGATTACATTCTGAAGCAGACACCGTGCGACTATTACAAAAATGTTTAGGTTTTGTTCAGCATAGTAAGGGGCTGTTTCGTGCACAGGCATGATTGTGTTGCTGTGAGGTTTCACAGAATTGTGAAGTGATATAGTCTCATGCAAATGATTTTATGGCACAATTTTTTTTTCACTCGATTTTATATGCAGAGTGCACTCCTTTGCTATGTATATACACCTTGCAGGCGTGCCATTGAATCTTATATTTGCTAGGTCGCACAGTATCTCATGGGCAAGTGAAGCTGTTCTTCATCTGGCGTGATATCTTTGCTTTCATCATTGTTATTCACAGTGTTGGATCCACTTGTGCCTATAACTTGTGCTTGATGCGCGGAGAAAGTACTCCATCAGAGTGGATTTCACGGCCGCCACAATTCCATCTGCCGTGCACACTTCCAAGGTGCACAAGTTTAATAATGTGGTCATGATCCCTGACTTGGTGACACTGTGATAGATGACAGGAATGGCGAGGAATTTTGTGACACTGATGTCGGTCGACTCATGTATGATCAAGCTGTAATAGCTCTCCCCAATGTCCCGTGCCAGATCCGCCTTGTGTGGATGAAGAACGTTCTTAATCACGTAAGTGCACTTAGAGCGGCGCATTTGATACGCTCTTGCAGCTTTGCTGTCAGAAAACGACTTCTTACAGAGTTGGCACAAGTGATCAGCAGTCATAATTGAAGAATGTTCAGCGATAAATAGAGCAGTTCTGCCCTCAGCGGCATTCCCTGGTTGGACTAGCCTTTTTGTAGTGAAGCCCAGTTTCTTCTAGATCGAAGAACTGCCAGCCAGTTCCCTATGCTTCATGGAGTTCGCTAGAGCTTTCACGTCCGAATATCTGCTGCCTAGTTGACAGCCGCAACGCTTGCACGTGGCAACTGGTTTTCCATCAGCAGACGCTTTGCACTCCAGCCATTTGCTGAGTAAGGGATCCTTTAACCATTCCGTCCTGAACTTCTGCGAATATACCACTTTCGGCATAACTCAAGAGGAAGGGGAGTCGGGTTACACGGAGAATAAACAGGACCGTTTTCCGACACCAAGCAGTCGGACATTATCCTTTGTTCTCTGTAACTTCGAACGCCTAACTTCCCACCGGGACTACAGGCGCCCCCTGCCGCTTGCGGTGCAACGAACGAGCTCACTCCATGCATGATAGCGGACTCGCTGTTAGCACGGCAAGCGGCGGGGGGCGCAGAGTCTACAATTTGGTGCATCGCAGCTCCTCCGTTACTTATTACTTAGAAAGCGATCGCCGCTTTGAAACCTCACGGATTTGTTTGTCTTAGATAGACGGAGCAAGTGAACAGGAGCCTCTGAAGTTAAACAATTTCCGCATTTTCAAAAAACACGAAAATGATTTCTTGCAGGGCGATTTTGAATCGGTCCACTGTGTGAGGTATTCGCCAGAAACCCGCTACGTGCACAAATGGCCTGTCAGAAAACCCGCTAAACTGATTTCTTTTCCCGTCAACATAAAATAAAATCTTCCAGACTTAGCGGGAAATCCGCTAAATTGGCATCAGTGGCGCCGAGCCCCTGAAAAGTCAGCTGCAACTTGCGTCAGCATGTCGTATGGCCAAATGATAAGATGGGGCATGGCCGCTAGAGATGACTGCTTACAGCACTGAAAGTTGAAGGTTCTCCACCCATTTTAAGTTGAGCTCAATACTTGCAATATTACTCAATATTACATACATTATATCAACTCTGCATTAACAGTACCAAATCATTACTAGAGGATAGACCACTACATGCCGACGCAAAAACTTAAAATGTGTAAAGTTGATGTCACTGCTTCTTTTAAGCTTTTTAGGCTTATCAATTCAGGTCGGTGCACTAAGTTCTCAATGATCCATTTTTTTTTATGAAAAACAAATACCAAACACAACAATAAATGAAGGTACAAGTGAATTCGAAGTTCGAAGATTAGGCCAATCCATGGACTACCCATCATCTCCATGATATTGAATGATTGGAGCATCAGAGCTCCCTCCAATAGATATTGTGGAAAATGCTACATATTGAAAACCTTAGAGCAATAGGTTGGGATAAGTAAAATGAGAAAGGCGTTGCATCAAGATTAGCAATGGTCACTCACGTTTCTGGGCAGAAGAGAATTCGGCGCAGAGGCCGCTGACTCAACTCCACGCGAAGCACGTCCTGATTGGGTTGTCGGAGGTCACGCACTACCATGGACCCCGACAGCTGGCCGACGGCATAGCTGCTGGCACTAAGGGGCTGCCAGTCCAGCGTGGTTGGGCCACAAGTGTCATCAGCTGCACAACCGTTGTCAATGCAAGTGCCGTGACTGAGTAAGAACAAAGAAGTACTTTCGAGGGCTTGTTTTTCTTCGTTAGACACAATATTAAAGAAGGATACTTCACCTGAAAACTACTGAGAAGTTTTTCATTGACTGAAACGAAACTCACTCAGTTTTGTGTATGTTTGTTTGCCAATTTAAAATATGCAGTTATTTTCCCAGTGATGCTATTTTTTTACTCGTGATGCTATTTTTTTACCTAAAGGATGTGTGTCACCTGTTTCTTTTGGCTATTATCCGGAATCGACTTGCTTACCACCTCCCTTCTCTTTTTGTCATGACAAAAGTGGCTGAAAACTTGCAATTGTGGCGTTTCTTGAAAGAAATTGTTGAAGCTATGCAGTTTTTGAAAGTCAGATTAACTTTTAAATATCTCTACATTGTAGACAGGACGACACTCACTACTGCGCTTGTCAGCACCCTTTTCCCTCAACCTGTTTATCGAGAGCAACATTCATCTCGAACTGGTCAAGATGCGTTTTACCGTGTGCATAAAATGTGTAAATCGTCAGCAGCAAAAACGTTCTTCTTTAAGCTACACAGCTCCACATTACCTGTAAAGATGTGGCTTCATGAAAAAGGTATATATGTGCCCTGGGCTCTAAACTGCAAAGCGTGCAACGAGCCTCAAATAATCAACTATTGTATTATTCATTGCTGTGATGCGTATCATTTCTGGGACATTCTTAAGAGAACCATCAAAAACAAATTTCCTAGAACAGCTCATGGTGTTAGGTTTCTACTGTTAATAAATACCCTTAATAATAACGTGCCATACGATTTAATCATGTTGTTGGGCCTCCATTCATTATTGCGGAGTCGCATGATTCACTGACATGCTGAGCCACCTCGCTCGACAAAGTTTGTTTTCAAGAAGAGACGGCCAATGTACGTAGTGTTGTAGTGACTTTCAACCCTGTTCTGGAGTGGCTTAGACTTTTGGACATGTGTGTTTGTTTACCGGACTTTTTTTTTTATTTACATACTGCAGCCCATTAAGGGCTATAGCAGGAGTGGGTGAAAAAGAACAGAGCAGTGAATTACAAAAGTACCACTTCCGGGAACACACTACAATATAACACACGAACAAAATACAATATACATGGCAATTCCATTCAGTACAAAAATAAATATCCAATGAATGGGCACTGCGGGGCATACATATTAACAGAACAAAGCAAGGAACTATTGGTTAGATACGACTTTCAAGAGAAGGCAGGAATTGATTTATCGATGCACTCCTAATCTCATCCGGCAGTAAATTCCATTGTTCTATCGTTCTAGGAAAAAAGCTAAATTTGAATAGATTGGTGTGTGCATGAAAAGGGGCGAGGTTTAGGGCACGATTATTTCGAGTAACGGTTGGCATAGCATACGTAAGATAGCTGTTATCGGAGAGACGGTTAACTGAGTGAACGATGGCATGCAAGAATTTGAGCGACTCGATATCGCGTCGAGTAGAGAGTGAGGTTAGATTTAAAGTAGTAATGGCGGATGTAGGCGAATAATGGTGGTCATAGCGTCGACAAATGAAACGGATTGCTTTTTTTTGCACAGATTCAATTTGTTTTATTTCTCTTTTTTTGTACGGACACCAAACGATAGAGGCATAATCAAGAACTGGACGAATTAGTGTTTTGTACATTATTAATTTAGTTTCAAGTGGGGAAGTTCTGAGGGTACGTCTTAGGTAGCCTAGTTTTTTAAGAGATTTGGAGCAGACTGAATTGATATGTTTAGACCAGGAGAGGTTAGTGGTGAAAATCACGCCAAGGTATTTATAATCTGAAACCCTTTGGAGCATTAGGTCATTGAAAGAGTAGTTGAAAACGGAAGTCTGCGTTTTGGTAGTGAACGACATCGAGAAAGTTTTATGGAAATTGATATTCATTTGCCATGTGTCACACCAAGAGCAAAAGGCACTAAACGAATCATTGAGAAGATAGTGATCTTGGACGGAGTTAATGGTGTTATATAGAACGCAATCATTGGCGTAGAGACGTAATTTACAGGTAATAGATTGTGGTAAGTCATTAATAAAAATCAAAAATAATAAAGGACCAAGAACGGACCCTTGTGGTACCCCTGATGTGACTTTGATTTGAGATGAATTGCCAGAGTTAAAGCTAACGTATTGGGAGCGATTCTACAGAAAATTGGCAATTAGGTCTACTAGACTGGAATTTTTTAGGATGGCACCGAGTTTTTTGAGCAACTTAGAATGCGGAACAGTGTCGAAAGCTTTTGCGAAATCAATAAATATTACGTCGACCTGGTGGCCGCAGTCAAGACTTGCAGAAATGTCATGGGTAAATTCTGTCAATTGGGTTAAAGTGCTGAATCCCCTACGAAAGCCATGCTGCAGATTAGATAAGACGTTGTTAGTCTCAAGAAAGTCGATTATATGTTTATAAATGATGTGCTCCAATAGCTTGCCGGAATGTGGTGTCAGCGAGATGGGACGATAGTTTGGCAAAAGCTGCTTATCACCAGACTTATAAATCGGCCGAACCTTGGCCGGTTTCCAGGCACAGGAAAAACACCCGAGGATAAACACTTCTGAAATACGATGGTAAGGTAACGAGATGTCCATAATGCATACCGAATTAAATAAGAGTTTGGAATACCATCGGGACCGTCTCCCTTTTTTGCGTCTAGATTCAGAATAAGATTCAACACACCAGCATGACTGATAGTTACATCAGTAATTGAGCCTATATCGGAAGGGGAGTTAAAGGCAGGGGCATCATGATTATCGACAGAAAATACAGAGTGGAAGTAAGTATTAAACGCATGGGAGATTTTCTGGTCATCAGTAATAGTTTCACCGTTAATCAAGAATGAGGAGGAAGAGCAGCTACTAGGCAGAAGTGATGTCCAGAATTTGCGAGGATTATTTTTGAGTAAAGAGTGTAATTGTGTGCCAAAGAAAAAATCCTTTGCAGAAGCCATCATTGCAGCAAGCTGTTTTTTAGCTTTCAGGAACTCATTCGTGCTATTAGGTATATCAGGATTCATTCTACGCCTCAGCCTGCGTACACGACGAGATAGGTGAAGAATATCTCTATTCATCCAAGGAAGTTTCTTATTCGTTTTTTTTTAGTTTTTATTGGAACAAAGCGATGAATGCACGACTTTACAGTATTTTCAAAGTACGACACAAGAGTATCTACGTCACAGTTGCTGCCCATGGATTCGAACAGAGAAAAAGCATCAGCAAGGCCATCCAAGATCGAAGTATCGTTAGCACGATTAAAATCCGGGAATGTTGTGAACGAATACAAGGTTTTAAACACAGGGTAAGACAGGGTCACGATGACCGCCTTATGATCCGATATACCTTCGGTAGTTTCACATATAAATCCAGCCTCCGCAATGTTAGAGCTTACAAACATTAGGTCGAGAAGTGCGTCCAGTCGAGTTGCATCACTAACCAACTGCACCAAGTCATGCAACAACGAAAAATTGATTAGCTCTCGGCCGAGGCCAGGTTCTCGACCGAAAGGTGTCAGAGAAGGCTAATGAATTCCGGGTGCATTTAATCACCAATACAGATAATATTAGATGAACCAATATTGTGGTTATAAATATAACTATTGAGATTGCGTATATGATCGACGGAGGTGCCAGGTGGGCAGTAGCAAACACCAACCATGAGATGATGCTTGTTTAAGTAAAGCTTGCACCATACCGATTCAACATCTAGAGGCACAGGCAAAACAGAGAACGTCAAGTCCGACCGAAATAGTAAAGCAACTCCCCCGCCTTTGCCGCTCCGTCGATCACAACGAACTAGGGCGTACCCGGGTGGAGTTATCTCAGAGTCGTAAACGCCTTCATGTAGCCAAGATTCAGTTACACCTACTATGTGCGGGGAAAACGTGGATACCAGAGAGACGAAGCTAGGAAATTTATTCAGTAGACTTCTTGCATTGACATTCAAAATTATTAGGTCATTACATGGATATAGGGGTAGTCAGGGAGGAGATGAAGATTCAGCGGTGGGAGCAGGGTGACGTGAAGATCTACGGAAGGGTACTTTAACGAGCGTGTTAGAAGTTGCATCTAAGGTATACTGAATGTCATCAATAAAAAGTTTACTGAAGCGCAAACGTACTTTAGACCCGCTGTCACGAAATGAAGCAGAAGCATCCCAGAGCTTTCTCCGGACAGAGCGCACACTTTGGGAATAATCTTCCGTAACGTAGCAGTCGAATCCTTTGAACTTTGAGACGTTTTTCATCACTTTTATTTTATTGCTGAAGTCTAGAAGCCTCATAATGACGGGCCGAACATGGTTGACTCGGGACCGCCCTAGCCTATGACAACGTTCAATGGGAGGACAGTCTATGAGCAAGGTATCACTGAATACTTGTGACACCCTCGCCCGGAGACTGTCACTATTTTCGTCGTCCTCTTTTTTCAAACCATGCAAGATTAAGTTGTTGCGTCTCATGCGATTTTCAAGATCATCATTTTTTAATCTCAGTTCATTAACCATCTGTGACAAAGCCGCAAATTCACTGTTGAATGGTACCGATGAAACAGGCGGTGCTGAGACGGCATGGGAAGACTCAAGGGCCGAAACACGCGAATCCAGAGAATCCAATCTAGCGTTGACGGTATGGTGAAAATTTTTGATGTCAAGGATATCTTTGGCCATTTGACTTTGACCGTCAAGGATTTTAGAAAGGAGTTGCTCCACAGACGAGTTACCATCCATCAAAACAGTGCCTGCCTCATTCTTAGAACGTGTCGTGGGCCCCTGAGCATTCCCATCATTACTGCTTCCTTTAGCGGCAGAAGGTTTAGGGAGGCCGGGATTTAGTTCAACCTCGCCGCTCAAGAGAAGGCGAAGTAAACTATATACGGCATGAGAACAAACACTGACAAAATTGTGTGGGCAGGGCAGCAGCAGCAAATACCGATCGTCAGAGCGAAAACACTTCGTAAGAT